CCTCTGGCAGCCTCTCCCCTGGATCCGCCAAACATTCCTGCAAGCAAGAGTGGAAATACATTGCTTCCGAGAAGACCACCAGTACGTGTGCACCTTTGATGTCTTTAGATTGTCAAGACTTATCTGCAGTTCCTTAAAGTCACCTTCTTCCTCTTTCTCTCCCCACAGACAATACGTATCTGTGTCTGGCTGTGTTGAACGGCGTGCTGTGCGTGATCTTTCTGCATGGGCGCAGCAGTCCCCAGGCCTCGCCCTCGGCCACACCTTGTCTGACCAAGAGCCTGAGTTTCGAGGGCCAGCCACTGGAAGAGGAACCCGACAAGCTGCTGGCACCCATGCACTATGCTCGCTCCGGCCTGGGCATTGCGGCTCTGAATGGCCGACTCATCGCCGCAGGTTAGTGGTCATCACAAAGTCCAAAGAAACCTGTGAAAGGCTCTCTTACTTTCATTGAGCAACTCTGTCTAATCCATTATTCAGGTGGCTACAATCGGGAGGAGTGCTTGAGGACTGTGGAATGTTATGACATGAAGACAGCCTGCTGGAGTTTCATTGCTCCAATGAGGACTCCACGTGCTCGATTTCAGATGGCTGTGCTCATGGTGTGTACATGGTCAAATGGGTGTTTAAAAAGTACAGCCTTCAAAAGCACGGTAAAAAAAACTATGGTTTAAATCCAAACAGGGTCAGCTTTACGTGATGGGTGGGTCCAATGGCCATTCAGATGAACTAAGTTGTGGGGAGACGTACAACCCTAGTGCTGACGAGTGGACTCGAGTGCCAGAGCTCAGGACCAATCGTTGCAATGCAGGTAAAAACTTCACTTGTAGAATTTACAATTCCTGTTTCATTGGTTATTGGCCATAACGTATATAAATAAATATCAGTCTCAGTCAGAATTTGTGCATTCCTTTAGATAGATTTTGAATTTGTCCATCCAACAAAGAGAATACAGTAGCTTCAGATTTATCACTGCTTGTTTGACTTTCCTCAGGTGTCTGCTCTCTGAACAACAAGTTGTATGTTGTTGGGGGATCAGATCCATGCGGACAGAAAGGTCTGAAGAACTGTGATGTTTTTGATCCTGTGAGCAAGGCTTGGAACAGCTGTGCCCCTTTAAACATCAGTAAGTCACGTTGACGTCGAAAAATATCCCCATAATTGCTTCCACAGGGGTTTTGGGCACTTGAAAGATCACAGCTTAAGCGTACAGCGGGGATTACATTGATTAAAAGCCAGATGGATCTGCAGATACTGTTCTCAACAATATTTTTGTGCATCTACAGGGAGGCATCAGGCTGCCGTGTGCGAATTGGATGGCTTCATGTACGTGATCGGAGGAGCAGAGTCTTGGAACTGTCTGAACTGTGTGGAATGCTACAATCCAGAAAACAACACTTGGACCCTTATTGCCCCAATGAACATTGCCCGTAGAGGAGCTGGAGTGGCTGTCTATGAAGGTAAGCAAAGGACAAACGCTCGGAAAACGAACATACAGCTTGTAGAAGGAGGTAACCGATGTTCGTCTCTCTCAGGTAAACTGTTCGTGGTGGGTGGCTTCGATGGCTCTCATGCCCTGCGTTGCGTTGAAATGTACGACCCCGCCCGCAACGAATGGAGGATGCTGGGGAGCATGAACTCGCCACGCAGCAATGCTGGTGCGGCCGTGCTCAGTGACATCATCTATGCCGTTGGTGGCTTTGATGGAAACAACTTCCTCAACTCGGTTGAGGCCTACAACCCTAAAACAGATGAGTGGAGCCCCTGT